ATGGGAATACTTACTTGAGCTCGGCCGGTCGCGCACGTCACACACTTTACTCTTTCTTGTGACTCTTTTCCGGGTTTTAAAGAACAATTTCTTTTGGAAAAATCTTTCAATCCCTCGATTTGAGTCCAAACACTCCCGAAGGCGTGTCCGAATCCCTCAAACCAGGGCTCTGATACCAACTTGTAACGACCCAATTTTTACGTCCGAAAATTTCATTTTTAAGGTATTACTTTAGAAAACATTAATAAATAAAAACATTGTTTGTTCACACCATAACACATCGCAACCATGTTCTAAAAAGTCAAACCATACATCCCATCAAAATATCAGAGTACAATCCCAGTAAATCTCATAAATGCGGAAACCGAAGAGTGTGTGTATGACGTGCCGCTACCGCGCCGGCTCCTTCCCCTTCGATGCAGAGGTACCTGAAAACAAAACTGTAAACGTAAGCACAAAGCTTAGTGAGTTCCCCCAACGTACCGCATACCATACAAACACATAACATACGTACTGCCAGGCTATTCTGGGGTGCCTGACTACCCGGTACGGCCATTCTGGGGTGCCGACCTACCCATACGGCCATTCTGGGGTGCCGTCTTACCCGTGTCAAGCCATTCTGGGGTGCTGACTACCCATGTCAAGCCATTCTGGGGTGCTGACTACCCATCGGTCCTAACAACCGATCCTCGGGGACTATTTCCCCCCTCTACTACGATCACATATAACATAACAAGCCAGCATGCAAACATATCATCACATACTGTCAGACGTATCTGGGGTGTCTGACTACCCGGTCCTAACAACCAAACTCTACTACTATCACATACAACATATCATGCTAGCATATAACATATCAGGTAATAGCAAACTTAGATGATATCACAAAGACAATCATCTATCATACATCTCCTACTGGTGGGTCGGCATTGTGGCCTTAGACCCACTGCTACTGGAAGGTAACTCACCTCAAAGTATGCTGAACTGATCGGGAACTAACTGACTGCTGCTGCTCCGGGAGTCCTCCGGCTGCAATTCCCACAACATACTCAATCAAACACTGCTAACTGTCCTTTAGGTAAAATGACCATTTTACCCCCGGTCTAGCTCTAAGCCAAAGCTAGAGTCAACTTTCAGTTGACCCGACTCGCCGAGTGGATCACCACTCGCCGAGTCCCTAGCAAACCAATGTCCTGGTCCCTGGTTCTACTCGTCGAGTCGGGCTATGACTCGACGAGTTCACCTTCTAACTGTCGTTCAACTCCTTCATCCTACTCGCCGAGTTGTATGAACAATTCGTCGAGTTCATCTTCATCCGATGAACACTTTATGCTAAGACTCGCCGAGTTGTATGAACAACTCGCCGAGTCTGTTCTTGATCTATGAAGATTGCCTTGGACTCGCCGAGTCAGGGCATTGACTCGCCGAGTCCTAACATGGGTGAGTTCAGCTCCCAACTCACCGAGTCACCCCCTGTGACTCATGGCTCAACTCGACACATGATGAAGGGACCAAATCGGTGACTCGCGACCAGACTCGCCGAGTCACCTATACGACTCGCCGAGTCGTCGCCATGCATCCACCAAATACACAGATTTACTCGATTTCAGTCCATGCCATTCATAGATCTGGACTTCTAGGACACAAATCACACGTAAAGTTTCCAACTTTACGTGTGGATATTCACTAATGTGGATTTTAGGGTGCAAAATGCCTCAAAAGGGTAGATCTAGGATGAACAAGCCACATGGGGCCATAAAGCTCACAGATCTGAGCTCCTGGAGCTCAATTGCCTAGATCTAAAGGTTAATCCACTTATTACGAGTCCATTAAGCACAAACAAGCTTGGAGAATTGCTCAAGAGTGTCCCAAATGACATCCTAAGCATAGAAACAGGGGAAAACGAGATATACCTCAAGGAAAATGTTGAAATGACACAAAGATGGCTGATCTCCTTCTCCTCTTCTTGATCTACTCCTCTTTCTCCTCAAAACCTTCAAGAACACACCAAGAACACCTCAAATCTCTCAAGGAAACAAGGGAAAACGATGTTGGGGGAGTTCTGGGGGTGAATGGGACGAGTTGGGGCGGAATGAGAGTTTAAATAGGGTGCAAACCCTTGAAACTTAGGGTTTCATCCAGCAGCGGTGACTCGCCGAGTCCAATGTGGACTCCGAGTCGCCTACTTAAAACGTGTCCTGAGTCTCGTCCCTACTCGGCGAGTCGGACCTATGACTCGCCGAGTCCAAGGCTAAATTAGGGCAATGCTCAAATAAAATTCACATACCGGAAACCAGGTGCTAC